CACTTTAGCTCGCATAGCAATAGCACGTCCCCGACCAACACCAAGTGATGTACCTTTTCCCTTCAAAAATGAAAATAAACATAAGCAAAGCACTTGACAGAACTGTGACAATTTAGAAAAAGTGAGGAAAGAACCTTGATTCTTGCTTCTAGCCGCTTGAACATGGGAGCATTCTTAAGCATGTCAGGAATTATCATGAACCTGGTGGAAATTAATGTTCAGACATGATCTTACCAGCAATAGCACAGTATACAAAAAAAGTTAACCATGTACCTGACTTTGCTGCCTCGAATGAAAACATGCTCTAGTTGTGACACTCTCCCATCCTGCAGAGATCAATATTAGCAATGTAAAAGAAACTTTGAATTTCAGTTCACTTCCTTCATCGACTCACCAAAATATGCCTAGAAGTGTCATTTTTAGTATTACCAAAAAAATCAGCATTTGCTAAAAATTAAGATAGTTTTATGTGCTTTATTTAATTTTTATATACAATTTTGTATCTTGATGCATTTTCTTTTCAGACACCATGTGTTTCTCCTTTTACTAAAGAAGAAACATTGTTATAAGAATCAAGGATAGGCACAGCAGTAGGTAAAACTCACTTTTTCCTACTTTTCATAATTTATAGGCAATACTGCATACACCTACCCAAGCAAAAGAAAAAAGTGAAGAACCAAAAGAAGGCATACAGTTGAAAAAATATAAATGTGGAGCTCATTATCAGATAGCACATTAAAGTTTTAAGGCAAAATGCCACAAAATCTAAATCATTACTGTTTCTTCAACTCCCAGCATCTTGATATGACATCAGTAGGCCCAAAATTAGGAAGAACAAAACTTGGAAGATAAAGGTTTCCTAAATTGGAAAGATTTCCTTTCTCTGTTCTTTAGAAAGTTGACGTCCTCCTTAAAATCTCTAGTTTTTCATCTTCTTGTTACGTCCTTTTTGTTAATAAGGTAATGAATTGCATAGAAGGCATCAAGGAGATGCAAAATTTACAGAACAATACTACAGAAAAGACAATGTTAGCTCTATTACAAAAGGTCTAACCTAAAGTTAAGGAGCTAACAAAGTTCAAAAACACATCAGGGAAGTTACAGGGGAAAGGTTGCTCCAGCTACAGAGACATGTTAAGACTCTGGCTTTAAGCTTGAAGCTTGGAGTAAGAGTGCCTTCAAAGCATCTTCTCCTTACTTCATTTTTTGGAGGAATTTAGCTCAACACTAGAAATGACAAGACATTGCTCCAATGACTGGAACTAGCTCCTCCATTAACATGAAGCAGATTTCTCAAGAACATGATAGAATAAAAATAATCCACGAAAGTGATTGGGAATGACCTTCCTAATTAAAAATAAATAAATGAAAAGCACCTAATTTGCACACAATGTGCACTGGTCTGCCAAACTAGTTGGTTTTTTCTTGAGCAATGATGACTTTTTGAAGGCCCGGTGAAGATGGTGGGACTTGCTCCAACTCTCAACTTTTTTTTTTTTTTTTTTTTGATTTGCACCGGGTGTCCGAGTCTCTTTGAGCCCCGACTAATCCCGGGGGTGCACAGGCCCTCGGCAAGGAGTTTCCCGCAAGTGCACCACGACTCTCAACTTTTTTATGATAAGGTAAATGTTAACTCTCATCTTACCAGTCAAGAAAAACAAAAGATCTTTCATTTCCAGTTGAAAGAAATTTCATGAACTCTTCAATTTCCATTGAAAGGAAAAAAGACAGAGAAAGAAAGGTCTACTGGTCATTTATTCTATCCATGAGTGAGGCCTCAAAATGGGTCATCATGGCAGGGAAACTCAGATTTTTCCATTATCAATGTTTGATATGCCTAGTTGTGCCAATTTCTTTAGTTGACAATACAAATTTTATGCCTAGAAGCAACTCGGATGTAGTTATGGATGTCAACGAGACCTTCTCATATTGATGGGAGACAGAAGGAGGTAGAGAAAGAAGCGAGATAGAAGATGTGTTTTTCTGCCAACCTCATTAATGAACAGTATAGCCTTTGTTATGGTAATTAGGAGAAGCAAGAAAAACAACCCTCGACTTTTATGGGCTTTGTCCCTAGGAATCACAATATATTCCCCTTCCTACAAGAATTGTCAGCAAATTGCACCTGTTTTGTATGGTTGAATGAGGCTTTCTATAGTTCCCCCTTATTCGAAAAGGAAGGGAGCAAACTCTTGGTAACTTGAACTTCAAAAACGTTCTTTTTTCTCTAGGTTCTCAAATGCTTTATGCTATCTTAACAACATTGGAAAGGAGATGCTCTAAATCTTTGTTTTTGGGCTACACATCTATGAAGTCAACACCATGTTTGCTTTTCAAGGTTGAGATGTGACAGAAGTAACTCAAATCAGCCAAAAACACAAAAAAGAAAATGGCAAGGTCCACAGTGCTAGAAGCGAAAAGGCGATAAGTGAAGCACACAATTTATGAAAGATTAAGAAATACCATGTAAGCAAATTTCAACTAAAATAACTAATATCAGCATCAAATAACAATAATGTTAATACTCAGCCTATTCCTCGAAGTTGAGATTAAGAGAGTGAACCGCTTCTCATCAGAATCACTTTGTGCATCACTGAGTGGACCACACACTTCTCTTAAATGTATGGCTTCACCAATGAAGCAATAATCCCTTGTTTTGCATTGGTTCATTGCTTCTAAGCAATAAATCAACAGAATTTACATAAAGCTACTCAAAAGGTGAAATTCTTGAGTTAACATAAGTGTTTCTATGTGATTGAAAAATAGGCTTTGTTACTATACAGGAATAAACAGGACTTGATATTTACAGATTTAGGAGAAGATTTGAAATAATAGAGGCCATAATTTGAAATTAAAAGTCAATATATGATATATTTCAGAGCAATCCCAGTCTAGAAATGCCTAACCAAGATAGTATGAATCCAAGAGCAAATTCGAAGAAACCAAGCTACTCAGGTGATCAAGAACTTCCAACTACGAGCAATGTGAATAAGCATATCTTAACAGGGGCAGGTGACACTCTACTGGTAAAATGTGGAACACCTGGTAAATGGATAAACTTAGGAAAAATGAACATGTCATTCTGCGTACTACTTCTCCACTTTGGAAGTTAAACAATTATCCACTATTGTCACCCTAAATAGTGCACTGACAATCAATTAGCTTGTTTCCAAACTAATGCACATGTTAAACAGAATATAGGATAATCGCAAACAAGAGTAAGATACAATATCATAAGCAGACAAGAGAATCGAAGAAAATAACTAGGGTTTAGGGTTTAAGAAACAGAAAAAGAAAGCACATATAATAACGCTTAACAAAATCGGAAAAATCACACAAGAAACCAGAAAGATATGTAAGCGTACTTTAGCTGTGTACGTAATGCTTTCCAGTTGGCAATTCCAGTTATCCTCGCACTCCACCATACTTCCTCTGTATAGCTCTCCACTCTTCATCTCTACCGTCACTATATGCCCTGTCGCTTCATGTAGAAGCTTCACCGGTATGCCCAAGCTCCGACTCATGGCGGATTTCTCCCGCTTTCCTTACTTCTCCAAAAACCTAACGTTGCTGGTTAGAGGAGAGTGCAGCTTCTTCTACTGTGACAGAGTGTGAACAATTGTTTAACCAATATGATCAAACGGTTCTTAGGGCAAATTCTTGCTGGTTCTTGGCCGGTGGATCAATTCTGATCCAACGGTTCTTGTTTACCCGTGTTATATTGATGGGTACGCTTTTCTTTTTCCTTTTCCTTTTTTTTCTTTGGGAAGTTTCATCTGGTAATTTAACTTCACTACCAAATTTTTCCGAGACTTTGCAATTGAATCACCAAATTTCTAAAGTTTCTTATAACACCCACGGAAAGTATAAGGATTAGACTGAATATGTTGTTGTATAATGCAAGTGGAAAAATGAGAGAATGAAAGTGAAGATTTGACTCCAAATTGGACATAAAAAGTTTAACACGAAAGGGGTTTGTAAAAATCAAATTGATCGATAAATTGAATTAAAAAAAAATGTTATTGGTTTATTTGTTTTTGGGTTAATGGATTTTTAATGGTTTTATAAAATAAAAAAATCAAGTTATCGGTTCGGTTTGTTTTAATATTGGGTTATTGGGTAAACTCGTAACTTAATAAGACTGTTGTAATTTATTATTTTCCCTCTACATAAATATTAAATATTAAACTTAGTACCATACTGGTTACTATCTTTATTTTTTAGCCTTCGGTTCACTCTTCACAATGACTTTGAATTCACAACTTCACATTATACGAAACGTCAAAATCCTAAATAAGAACTTTATTCCTCTTAATTTCTCTGTTGCATTTATATGGTTCTTTTCATGTTAGTTATTACTCTGAACATTCTATAAGTTACATTATTATATTATCGCATCAAATTGTTGGAGAATTATATATTTTTTTATAAGAATTTTCTTATTGGTTAAATCAAATACCAAATCGTTAAGGACCAAAACTAATAAATCAATTAAAATTATCTTATTGAATTGATTATTAATTTAACATATTTAAAATCGAAAATCGATAAATCCAACTGATAATACATAAAATCAAACCAAATCGACTGATACACAAGAAGATATCTCACAATTTTAGAAAGTTGTCATATTTAATAAATTCTAATCTCGGTTCGTTATGCCCGTGGATAATTATTTGTGTTAAAAATCATAAATCTCGATATTAAAAATTATAAATATCAGAATAAATTTAAAAATCTACATAAATTGAACCTCAAAAAGTTGCATCAAACTTCAAAATATAAATTAAAATAACAAAAATTGTAAAATCTAAAAATTGCATCTTCGGATATGAGTTAAAATTAAATTACTTTTTCTTTTCAAAACTTTTATTAAATCTAATAATTAGTGTTTGTGAAATATTTTAAGAAAAAATGAGAGAACATTTTTGATAAATTACAATGAATTAAAATTCTATAAAAAAATTTAAGAGGTTATTTTTACGTGCCCAAATATAAGGAACCATTTTCTCTCTAAAGAGAGATTTGATGGTATTTTAACAAATCGGAATTGAGAAATTATCGGACAAGCGGAGCTGGCAATTCCAGCGAGAGCGAGTGAAACTATTCCCCCTCGAAAAAATTCGCCGGAAAGTGGGCGTGATCGGCCGGCTTCCCCCCCTGCATGTGTACAGATGAAAGTCGCTAAGAGCAACTACTTCTTTTCATCTTTTTGCTTTCATTTCCTTTTCACGATCATTCTGCTGGCATTGAATCCAGTTCTGAGCATCCGATTCCCAGATCGGATCCCGGAGGTTCCACAGGATGCCTCTAATCAGCCATTACAAACTGCAGTTTTCTCTCTCGGAAGCTTCTGGAGATCGGAAGCGTCATTTGGCTGCTTAAACGGAATCGTAAGAACCACTGTCGGTTATTCTGGTGGTTCAAAAGCCAATCCCGAGTACAGAAATTTGGGCGACCACGCTGAATCTGTACAGGTATTTGTTTGATCTCTTTCCTTATGTAGACTAAGAACTGAAATTGATTGCCACATCATAATTGTGCCTTAATCGCCTGTAATTGACATTACTCTAATGTAATGTGTTCGCCAGCTTTTCTTTTAAAAGCCTTTGCTGCGATCTGTTGGAACATTTTCAGCTATGTTGACTCCATTGCGAAAAGAAAAATTGACAGTTACAATTAGGTTTTCGGGTAGACCGTAGACCAAACCAGTGCCTTGTATCTTCGTTATGTACATAAATACTACTAGTAATTAATTTTCGGTAGAAAAAAGTATTGTGGAAGCATCTCTGGTTATAAAGTGGAGTATGGAAGTTATTGTGTATGATTACCAATGACCATCTTTGAAGAAACACTAGGCTATAGGGAGTATAAACTTTTTGTGGTTATACAATAAACTAGAGTATGCCGAATCCAGGAGCAAGTTTGATCAAAATTCAGTCGCAAAGATGTATATGAGGGACAAATTGCTGACAGCTTGAATTGCACTTTCTATGAAATGATAGGAGTGACATTAGCTGAGGTGGGAAATGAGCAAACAGTACTCTAATCAGTGGTTATCTAATCCAAACAATATGATAGAAGAGTCAGCTAATACATATCTTACACATTTTTACTGTCTAGCTGAGTTAACACAAGCTAAAGTGCTAAACCTAATTAATATCTCAATGACCAGTTAGTCCCATTCTAATTTGTAGTTGCAGACCTTTTGTCTTTGTCTTGTATAATTGCAATGTGAATGGAGGGGTTACAGTAACATGCTAGCATATTGTTCACATGCTACTTACCGAACGGAATGAACATGAAGGTATAGGTTTAAATGTTATTCCAAGTGCTTTAGTTGAAATTCCCCTGTTTCCGTCTATGTCATTGTGTGTACTAGATATGATATCGTTTTGTGCCTTTTTGGATTTGATATATATCTTGTCGGATTTTTTCTTATAGCTTTTAGTTGCTGCTACGTATACTTTTGAAATCTAATTCTTTGAGTTTTGTGGATAGTGGTTGATGTAATCTTGTTTTACAGTTTCCATTTCGTTGACATTCTAGTCTTGCCTGAAAATGTTTGAGGTTCTGAATGAGCTTTCCCGTCCCTTGTCTGGAGTAATTAAATGTATACCCATGGTTTGTTCCCGATTGCTTCAACTAAATGGATTATAGGTTGAGTGGCATTTTAAAATTTTCTTATCTTGAATTTTACATTAAAAAAATTTGAATGTTTCATTTATCTCCTATTCAACATGTTCAATGTACTAAATTTAATTTCTTGTAGGTCGAGTATGACCCCCAAGTACTTGGTTTCAGACAGCTATTGGAGGTCTTCTGGGCTAGCCATGATTCCAGGCAAGTCTTTGGGCAAGGTCCTGATGTGGGTAACCAGTACAGGTATGATCCTTGACTTCAACCTGGGTTCCTTTTTTACTTGAGACTGAAGACAAACATATGAAGAGCAATGTTATAAATCTGCCTAGTGCAGGTCTATTATTTTCACAAGCGGCACTGAGGAATCCAGATTGGCTGCTGTTAGCAAAGAAAGAGAACAATCAAAGTCAAAGAGCAGCGTTGTTATCACTCAAATTCAACAGCTTGAAGCTTTTTATCCTGCAGAGCCTGAACATCAGGTCTAGTATCCATAACTACATTATGCTGATACTAATCATAATTTCTAAGGGGTTTAGTACTGAATGTTTGTTGCACTTCCTTTCTTTATCAAAAAAAGGGTTTAGTACTGAAGTTTCCTGCCATGGTTGATTCTTACCTCCATAAAATTCATAGAGTTATACATGGTGGGGATTCAGGAGATTCCATTGATGCAATGCCTCTCTTGACAGTTCAGATGCAAAGGGGAAGAAATAGTATGGGTTTTATCTGGAGTGATATGTACACATATATTTGCTCAAGTGTAACTGAAAAATCCTTGAGTGTCAGCTGGCACGTGGTCTGGAATTCCGTGGAAAATGGGCCCATCTCTTTACCTCTCTCCACTTAAGTATAGAACTTGTGTGCAATAAGGTTCTCACCTTGTGACGTCTGCCTAAACCACACATCACAAGTTGACTCTCACGACTAGACCAAAACCCTGGTACTGTTATTTTTGGAGTTTATGAGGATTGCAAAAAAAAATGTATTGTGCCTTTAGGAAGAATTATATGAGGTAAGCAGGAAACAGAAACATCTGAACGGGATCTTAATCTACCTGATTTGCAGAAAGAAAGAGTGGAGTCCAAAGCATTGAAAAATGTATTGGATGACTTCACAGAATTCATGTCCAACCAAATGTTATCGGTATGCCCCATCGCCGGCGAACTTTATGTGGAGGAATAGAAGGATACATCCCAAATAGACAGGATATTATATCTAGTGATAGGAGGAGAATTTTCAATTCAAGGAACCTTACTAAGTGCTTTTGAGAGGCCTTTTACCCCTTGACCCGATTGAGAAAGGATTAGCTTTGATAAAGAATCTTTCTTGTATTCCTATATATTCTATTTTTTTCTTCTCCATTCCTTCCAATAGCTAAGAAACTTGAGAATCTATGAGTACTTCCTTTGAAATGGAACGGTTAAAAATGTACATCTGGTCTGCTAGAAGAGTGTCACAATGCCAATCAGAAATAGGGGTTTGGAAATTGGGAGACTAGCTATTTTCAATTGGATGAATTCTTGAGCTCTATTGGATAAATCAACATAGAGATTTGTTTTCCAGATGACGTCAAAACATCATCAGTTATGAGTGTGTAAAAGAGATTATGTAGATAAGCTTTATCCTGATTCGTAGGGTTCTTAATAAAAAATTGGAATCAAGAATCATATATTATTCTGGCTGGAGTCTCATTTGACGACTCTTCCTTAAACCATGGAATTTCCCCTTTTATCCGTTTCCAATGTGAACAAAGGTCATGACTGCAGTCTCTTTGGAACATCCAACAAAAAATGTGAATGAAGTAAGAAGATTCCATTAATAAGGCATCAAGAAGATGTAATACATGCAAAAGAGATGTAGTTGGCTCACTACATGAGTAAACTATGCCAAGACCATGGATCTAACCAAGTAAAAAAATTTAACAATTATACTTACAGGGGTTAGGGTGCTCTAGTTAGAAGAGCTAACTAATCATCTAGGGAAATGAAAGTATATTTATAATAGAATACTTGTGTATTTAACCCTATCTTGGTGTATCTTAATAAAATATTTGATTTAGAACAGTTGTGTATAGTAGATACAGATCAAATTGTAGATTTGATAGGAAGTTTGTAATTGACACTTTTTGGTGGTGGCCAACATGCCCTTAATGCTGAAGAATACAACCTTACCAGTTTCAAAAAAAAATAAAAAAATATTTGATTTATAACAGATAAATGGTTCAAGGAAAATTTTTAGGGACTTGCACCATATTGGCCTATTTCCCTGTTCTCATGTTATTTTGATCCTTTATTCTAACCACCAAGGAATTTGGTACCCAGATTGCTTTAAAAGTTGGGATAAAAAAATCTAAGCAGGCTAGATGATGTGGTATATAGACAATATTTATTGCAATTTTTCTTTCATGTGAAAGCAAAGCAAATGGGAAACATGTTTGTCTATTTAGGGGAAATCTTTTTGTGAGGAACTGCCAAAATGTTAACTCTCAGAAAAAGTTGCTATAGGACTACAGGAGAACCAAAAAGGAAAAAGAAATTGTAGGTTACCTTTTTTTTTTTTAATAAGGTACAAAGTACAAACAACATACTCATACTCAAGTGTAATACCACAAGTGGGTTTGGACTACTTTGATTAGGTAAATAATTTTATTGATGATGGGAAATCCTCCCGTAGACGAGCAGTTTACCAAATGGTAGAGAATCTACATCAAACCATGATTCTTTACAGATGATATCCACTCTTCTTTACTAATTGAAAAAACTCATTGGTGCACCAAAAAGAAACTAGTTATTCTCTTCCCCATCAAAGGCTCTCCTATCTCTTCCCTCCATTGCTCTTCAACAAAGATTCACTACTGGCACCAAACGTGTCTCTAAACTTTTAGTTTACTGGACCATTTGGTTTCACAGTTTGTTACAACATTTAGATTTTTAGACACTTGGAAAAGAAAGACCTTTTCTTGCCAAACGTTTATTTCTTTAATTATTTTTTAGGAGTGAAATCAGGAAACGAGAAAAATTATTTCTCTGAAATAGAAAACCCAGAACTTCCCCAGAAACAGAGCCACCTTGATTTTGTGATTTATCATTTATTGATTCACAAATAATGTGGACTTTTTTTTTCCCTCATGTTTATAAATTCTTCTTTTTTATTCGACTGTCATTGCTCCAATGATCATTTGAAGTACATGACTGACAAATCACTACTGTCCATTTTTCAGAAATTTGAGCTCAAGCGGAACCCCTTCCTACTTCAATTGATGGGAAACTTGCCTGAGGAGGAGCTTGAGAGATCAACGCTGGCTACAAAACTAAATGGCTATGCAGCAGAGCTTTGTTCATCAAGAATCCAAAAGCGGATTGATGCAAAGATCAATGATATTATCAAGAAAGGTTGGCCCATTCTCAAAGAAGTTTAGGTATACATCTCAAGGTTATATGAGATCCTGCAGACCTTTGTTAATGTGTAGAAACTGAGAGTTTCCTTTGCTGAAGTAATGTCTTGCAGATGACAGAATACCTTCATGCAAATTCATCCTCTACATTATAGGTTCTGAAGTCTGAATAGCGAGCAGAGACCTTTTTACAGAGATTAATCAAAATTTGTTTGTACAATCAGAATAGGTTGATTGGAGTAGACTGAGCAGATGCGTTTTTTGGCGGGGATTAATCAAATTTTTTTGTACTATCTGAATGTTCTGTATAGGTAATAGGTTGATTGCACCAAAACTGAACATTATTGTGATATAAGGCTGTGGGACCTTAAAATCATGTTGTTGTAGTACTTCATAATTCTATGAATGCCTGGCTACCCCGTTTTCATGTTGTAGTAGTTTCATTTTGCAAATACATGTACTACTATTTATCTACAATCAGGCACCACATTTAGCTGATTGGATTAATCTTGTTATAAATTTGACTAGTTTTCGGAGGGTTTAAGAATTTAACAGATGTTAAATTTTCTTTTTACCTGTCTTAAACTGCTGGCTAACGAATTGTGGTAGAAGTTAAGATTTGATTGTCCGTAGATGAACAGAACCAGCAGCGGAGAGATGATTATTCTAGTAGAAAAGTTGAATCAATTCCGTCAAACCGATTTACCAGTTCGTTTACTTTTTTTTATGTGACAACTCGAAAGGAATACGAGGGAATTTACAAGTGCTCCTATTTATTCAGGTTTTAGGGAAAATGCACAAGTACCCCCAGCTTATGTAAAGCCTAGCTGGGGATTTACAATCAAAATCGTGAATCAAGGGAAAAGTCGTTCAATATTTGTGCTAAAAGCTCATATACTTTGATGTTTATCTGTTCATCTTCCTCAATTTAGTTCAGGTATGTTTGATTTTACCCTTTTGAAAGTTTATTTTTGATAAAAGGGAAAATGCATAAGTACCCCCAGCCTATGCCCAAAATCCCTAAGACACACCTAACATTTACTAAGGTCCTATTATCACCCTGAACTTATTTTTTAATTAATTTTTTATCATTTTTCGGCTTACGTGGCAATATAAACCAGATAGGTTGAAAGCTTTGTTCAACATGCGCTGGACCCCACTTTTTCAACTTTCTAAAAAGTAGCTATCAGTTCAAAATAGCTTTTACACTTCCCAAAATTTCAAAAAGCTATCACTTTATGTTTTAGACAAAAATATTATTTATAATCTACTTTGTTAATATATTTTTAGTTAGTTTATACCTTTCAATGTTTATATATTTTATTTCAACTTTGGGCTTGTAAAATTTTGTAAATATTATATATATAATTTTATTTTATTTATAGATAAAAAAATATTACTTATTAATCTACTTTGTTAATATATTTTAGCTAGTTTATAGTTTTTCAATGTTTTATATATTTTATTTTAAATTTGGGCTTGTAAAATTTTGTAAATATTATATATATAATTTTATTTTATATATACATAAAAAATATTATAACTTTGTTAATATATTTTTAGTTAGTTTATATGTTTCAATGTTTATATATTTTATTTCAACTTTGGGCTTGTAAAATTTTGTAAATATTATATATATAATTTTATTTTATATATACATAAAAAATATTATAACTTTGTTAATATATTTTTAGTTAGTTTATACCTTTCAATGTTTATATATTTTATTTTAAATTTGGGCTTGTAAAATTTTGTAAATATTATATATATAATTTTATTTTATTTATAGATAAAAAAATATTACTTATAATCTACTTTGTTAATATATTTTTAGTTAGTTTATAGTTTTCAATGTTTATATATTTTATTTCAACTTTGGGCTTGTAAAATTTTGTAAATATTATATATATAATTTTATTTTATTTATAGATAAAAAAATATTACTTATTAATCTACTTTGTTAATATATTTTAGCTAGTTTATAGTTTTTCAATGTTTTATATATTTTATTTTAAATTTGGGCTTGTAAAATTTTGTAAATATTATATATATAATTTTATTTTATATATACATAAAAAATATTATAACTTTGTTAATATATTTTAGCTAGTTTATAGTTTTTCAATGTTTTATATATTTTATTTTAAATTTGGGCTTGCAAAATTTGTAAATATTTTATTTTGTATTAAGATCCGAAGTTACAATTATATTGTTATAGTTTTCAAATTTGAAGTTAACAATTTACTTTGTAAATATTTCGTTTTGTATTCAGTTTGACTGTATCCTTTAATCTTATTAATTTAACATAATGAACGTTGATATTTCAAAAAAATATATTTTGTACTCATGTGAATTTTACCGTCTTTATGAAAATTTCTATTCATTTAACGTTTCTTAAGTTTAGCTTATCACACAGGTAGGTGAAAATATATTTGATCTCTTTTTCAAACACCGTTAAGTTGTAAAAAACCAAAAAACCAAAAAAACCCCGAAAGAACCGACTAAAACTGAAACAAAAAAAACCGACTTTGCGTGGTTTGATTTGGCATTTAGATTTAATAAACCGACATAATTGGTTTAGGTTTTTTTTAATGAAAAACCAAACCAAACCGACCTATGTACACCCCTACTTCTAAGTCATCAAGAATCGTGGTTGAGTTCAAAGGTTAGTTTTTTCTTGATTTTATTTTGTTAGCTTTTCGAAGAGAGGAACAATTTTACTTATGATAATGGAGGTTTTTTTTTCCAAACATGAAGAACAATAATAAACAAGAAGACAATTGAGTTAATACTTATTTTTTTCAAGTTTATTTTAACACATGGCCAATTTTTATTGGTCAGTGCTGTCTAAAAATTGCACCCAAGCGCCTAACATAGGTGAAGTCACGGACTCAGCCACGTAGGCCGAAAAGTGGTGAAAAATTAACAAAAAAATAAGTTTAGGGGGGGTAATAGGACCTTAGTAAAGGTTAGGTGTGTCTCAGGGATTTTGGGCATAGGCTGGGGGGTACTTATGCATTTTCCCCAGGTTTTATGAAGTAGCAATTCTGTCAAACCCTGTTACAAATCCATAGCTTATAATTTGTCAAATCTTTAACGTCCCAAATGTTCGGTTGAAACTTTGCTTTTCGCTAGATAAGACGAATTCAAAACTTGAATTTATGATTTTCAATAATTTCAAATAAAAATGAAAAATACCTTTAAGTATGTATCCAGGGGAAACAAACCTCTTTAGTCTTTACAAAAAGGCAAGCTAAGTTTAAGTGAGTTCCTTCCCTATAACCGGATCAATTGATTGGTTTGTTAGTAGATTCTCAATAAATAATTTTTATATATATTTGATAGATTTCTCAATAAAAATGTAAAGTTTGTGCAAAAATCATTCCCGAAAACCCTAATCTCGGCTTGCCTAATGCATGTTACCTTTTCTGTGTGATTTGTGAGTTGTTACATAGGAGCGGGATTTTACCTTACAGCGGCGAATTTTCCTTGTCATAAAAAAAACAAAAAACCTAAACCTAACCCAATAGCCTAGATTTGCAGGCTTGGCCGCCATGCTTAAATTGTACCCGAAAACCCTAACCTCGTTCTTATCGCTCTGGATTCCGATCTATATGACCTCCGGGCGGTACAAAGTAAACCTCTTCCATAGAAGCAGGTAGTAACCTAACCTTTAAGAATTTGTTCAAGGGAGGACCCTCTGATCTATCAATGGAAAGATCTCCATGTGTGGCGTGATAAGGAATCCTAGAAAATATCGATTGAGACTCCCTCCACGGTCCCACGAAGATCTCTACATACTTGTCCAGGACAAGTAAGATCTTCGACCTGCGTGCCTGGGAGCAGCTCAAACAAAGAAGAGTCTGGTCCGGTCTGAATTCAGGCATGGCCTGCCCGTCTGCTGCTAGGTCCAGAAAAATCGCTGGGCAAGGGCGCCGCTATTCCCCTTAATGAATCGAACGGTCTTTCGACCTTCGTTTGATTCCGGTAGCCTAGATCCGCCGGCTTGGTCTTCATGTTTAAATTGTGTGATTTTGTGAGTTATTACATAGAAGCGAGATTTTACCTTACAGTGGCCCCTGGTTTTCCTTGTCATAAAAAAAAAAAAAAAAAAAAACTAACTCGATAGCCTAGATCCCCAAGTTTGGCCGCCATGCTTAAACTGTTACCGAAAACCCTAACCCGGTAACCTAGATCCGCCGGCTTGGCCTTTATGTTTAAATTGTTCCCAAAAACCCTTAGCCAATATCCTAGATCCGCTGACTTCGCCATTCATACTTAAACTGTTCCCAAAAACCCTTACTCGATACCCGAGATCCACCGACTTGGCAATGCGTACTTAAATTGTTCTCGAAAACCCTAACCCGATACCCTAGATCCGCCGTTGCCATTAAGTATGATGGCCAAGCGACTTTGCAGATCTGAATCAACTGCAGTTCTTGCATATTGCGGTGAGCTATTTACTAGTTTTGTCGGTGACCTTATCAGTGATCCGACTTCTTTATTTCTCCAGAAAAGGGGCATCAAGTTGCCATATAAGTATTCAAAATTTGAAGGGATCTGAGCAAACCCAAGTTTCTCCTAAAGTACCCGTTAGTTACAGCTCTGTTCCCCAGTATATGCCTACATTAAAAAATATCGGCACTCAGACTGAAATTTTTCCAGACCAACCAGCTAATGAAAACCATGAACCCAAGTATGGAACAATATGCGAAAACCAGAATATTCCCCAGCTCAAGTCTTAAGTTTCTGGAATTCAGAGTTTGTAGGAAATTGTGGCAAGTCATTATTAGTAACATTTCTCACTTATACAGGTATGTAATCATCTCATTATTGTTGTTATTCTCTAGTACAATTTTCACTGCCTTCAAAGAATTTAATACACTTAATTTGTTCTGTCAAATGCTTCCATACCTATTAATTCCCACTGAATCATATTATAAATCAAATTATCATCTTAAATTTATTGTTGATATCAACAGTACATCACTTTTATGTTTTCGTTTTTAAAGTGGGGGAGGGTTATAGCCTATACCATATTGCAATTGCAATTAGGAAAGCAAACAATGATTTCAAAAAAAACTTGTCGGAATAGAAATATTGTCAAGGCAAAACAATGCTTCATCCAAGTTCAAAGTTTCAAAGGAAAACTCCTTCCAAGTTTTTCAGATAAATTCTAAAGTTTTAAAAGTCTGCGTATCAAAATTTCCCTCAAGGGAAAGGCAAAACAGAGTGCTTTTGTTTAAACAGTTGTGCAACTGCCTTTCTCACTAGTTTTCTGTATATAAAAAAAAACCTCTTTGAGTCATGTCATGTTAATGTTCTCCACTTTACTTCATTCTCTTCGAATCCCGACCTTTCGATCTCCCCCCAGACCTCTTTTTACCAGATATATCATGCAAGAAGCGATAATAGGAACCATTATGGCATCCCTTAGGTTTATTAAAGAAAACACAGGGTGTCAAGCTGTGCGGAATTGGTTTTTGGTTTTTTAACAAATCTGTCCCCCGTGTAGTACCATGAGGATTCGTATTTTGTAAGCTTTCATCAACCATAGGCTCACTTTTTTCTCCACGTTGCTTGATCAGGGACTTGTAGTAATTGATGATATCCTTGTGAAGAGGGCTATGACTAGTCATCGAGGAGGAAGGGGATGTATGGCCAACATTTGGTGAAAGAGACAGATTAGGCTGCAAGCTGGTAGGACCATATCTAGAAACCAACTCAAAATTAACTAATGGCTTTCCTCCTGCATTGTCAGGTACTCCATATTTGCTAATCAGTTTCTTAATATTTTCCAGATCAAGGTCTGAAGAGAAGTAGGTTAGTGACTTACTCTCTCTAATGTTTGCAGTTTCTACCTGAGGAGGGGTCCCTTGTTCATTAACCAAATCACTTTTCACAGATGTTTCAGGCTTAGTCATTATCAAAGGCACAGATTTTGCCATTGGCTTTGGCCCAAAACTTTGTCCAGATCCTGCATGGGGAGCTTGGCATTCATTAATGGGCTTGTTAATTACCTTGTCCGGTTTTGTCCTGGTCAAGGGAACCAGTAGATCCACTGGCCTAGACATGGCAGTATTGAGAGAAACAGCTACTGCAGCAGCAGTTGCAACATTGGTATTCATGCCACGTTCATTCATCAACTTTGGTATTTCTTCTGGGTTGAGGAGAAGCCTAACCAATAAGTTGGTATCGATCCGACTACCCTGCTCTTGACTTTTTGCAAGAGCAGCTACAGCTGTGGCTACGTCAACTGTCAAATCACGCGTGGATGGAGATTCGGTGATAGGGTTGTGCTTAGCAAGTGCCATTCCAGAAACTTGAGACTTGAGCTGGGGAATATTCTGGTTTTCATATGTTGTTCGATACTTGGGCTCATGGTTTTCATTAGCTGGTTGGTCTGGAAAAGTTTCAGTCTGAGTGCCGATATTTTTAAATGTAGGCCTATACTGGGGAACAGAGTTGTAACTAACAGGTAGTTTAGGAGAAACTTGGCTTTGCTCAGATCCCGTTAGATTTTGATATCTTGAATGATATAGTGGAGTAGATTGCACATTAAAAGGGGTCTTTTTAGAAAAAAAAGAGTTTCTCGGAGGTTTTCTGGGATTTGGAAAGGTTGACAAAGACTTTGGAAGCGATTTTCCATTATCAGGTAGCTTTTGAGAAGTAACTATCTTGACAGATGATGTACTGTTAGGTAGACATGCATCTGGCGATTTGTAGCAGATGGTTTGGGCTGGAACTTCTACATATACTTCTTCTTCTTCTATAGGAGTGGTTCAGATTACTGGAGTTTAGTCATCATCATAACTTTGTTCCAGGTCAGACAAGTTGTACGGATTGTATGGAAATTAAATAAGAAAAATAACAGATTAAAACCAAAGTAAATTAAGACAATGAAAGCTATAAGCACAAGAAATATTAATCCAAAAATTACTTACTTTGGAGGAATTGCAGACCGATTAGGGAAAACCGCCTCAATCACCCTCCTTTTCCTATCCTCCTGCTTACTGGTTTCTTTACTTTCTTCACCAGCAACCACTAGCCATTTCTCGTTCAAATGGAACTACAAGTAACAACAATAAATGGGGTTATTGTGACAATGTGTACATAAACTATTCAAATAAAGGCAACTCCAATCATCTAAACTTAGATTACCTTGGGAGGGCATTTCCATATAGCCAAAGATTTGGAAGAAAGTCTCTCTTTAGACTTCTTCAAGCAATATCTTTTTTCAGATGATGATCTATCAATGCTTTGATGCGTCTGCTTTAACTGAGTATGCTGTTGAGATCTGCTGCCAACTTTTGATGGGCAATCCTCTTTTCGATAATGTTTTACCTGTTGAGTGGTAAATTATACAAACTCTTTAAGGAGAAATTTGGAAAAAAACTAAAGCATATCAATGTTCTTGATAAGTAAAATTGAAAGCATGTCAATTTGACATGTCCTTGATACTACACACTTAGAATATCTCCTTGGGAAATGAAATATACACTAACATCATAAATGTAACTCAAGCATTTAGGTGCCTCGATAGCTCAATTAGAAAATCAGATGCATTCAACAACCACTATATTCCAACATAGGTGGTTTAAGCTCCCTCATCACCGACTGAGGGTTTTCCTCTTTCCGGTCTATACTGTGAGAGTTTCTTCCTCTTTAGGGGAGGTTCTTTTCTTTTGAAGATTAGCTACCAAAATCTGCAAAATCTCAAATCAATCTAAAATTATCAAGAGTTTTCCTTTGTGGCTTTACTGGGTTACATCAGCGTTTCAACAAACTCCAATTGGAGAGTAAACCCTACAATTTGGAAGATGACAGAAGAGATTACCGAACGGCTACATCAATTTATTCTAACGGAGGAAGAAAATGAGGTTTATCTATTGAAATTCCAGACATCCAGTCAAGCTTGAAGGAGTGTGAGGTAAGTCTTTTTGGTAAAGTGATATCGGATAAAAAGGTTAACTGTCAAGGAATCAAGAACACTATACCTTTGGCTTGGGAAACCCAGTAGGATTGAAAATAAAGGAAATAGGATATAATTTTTTTTAGTTTAGTTTTAAGGATAAGGAAAGTATGGACAATATAAGATTGGGTACACCATGGTTATATGATAGATACCTCCTTAATGTTCATCCTTGGGAACTACGATTGAAAAGTGATTCCGTAGTGTTTAATGAATGTAATATGTGGGTTCAAGTTTGGAACGTCCCCTTACACCGGATGTCAGGGGACGTTGGGCGCAAAATAGGGCAAGCGTTGGGAGGAACTATTGATGTTGTAATCCCTGGAAATGGGAGCAAGGAGGGACGATATAGGAGACTTAAGGTCACGATGAATATCTCCAAGCCACTGCCTAAAGGTAAATTAATCAAATTAAGAGGGGACACTACATGGGTTGAACTACGATATGAGAATCTTCCTTGTGTTTGTTTCTATTGCGGTATACTAGGACTCAATGAGAAAACTTGTGTCCAAAGAGCCAAAGATATACTATCAGACACACTAAAAAATGATCAATTTGGGGCATGGCTAAATGCAGAGAATCGTGTGGCTTCCGCAGATTATCAAAGACATAAAATAGTGCATAGTACCGAAGGGCATAATCTGATGAAAAATAAAAATTCCAAATTGATTGAGGGGAAAAGAGATGTAGGAACCGGAAAAAGCTTGATACACATACAAGAAGGAGTTGACTTGACTAATACACATATAGGTATAAAGAAAGATAATGCCTATAAATTATTGTCAAAATGAATGCAAAGAAACTGTAGGTCTTAAGGGAACTGACGAGGATTCCTTGCACAGAAAAAAATCAAACCAATTGCAGCCTATGGAGTAGCAACTTATGAATCAGAAGGGGGAACTTCTGTTGCTAATAAAACCCAAATTTTGGATATTGGATTGGGGGAGGAGGATAAGTGCTCAAAACTACCACTTGATAAGAATACATATGACGCCACAACAAACGAAAATGAAGATGCTGCCCAGATGAATACAAAAGATCTAACAAAAAACATTAACCAGGGTATCATAATCGCTAATCAAATCGAAGGCCATAAAGGAATCAATACCATACAAGCTGGAACAAAAGATCAGGTATGTACTTTTGCTTTTGACGCTGCTTATCTCAGTCGTTAGCATTTGAACATTGTAATGAAAATAATAAGTTTAAGCAACTACGGAATGACAATTAGAATGAAGGGAAAAAAAGGATAAACTGGAAACGGAGGGCTAGACTAGTTGGTGTTTCTGATAGTTTAAATAAGGACACAAAATTAAAGATTGTTAACGAAAATTGTGGTGAGCTTGTTATTATAGAGGAAGGAATACAAGCTACAGGGGATAAATGAAAGAATGATAATTCTTTGAGTATTGATATAGCAACAAAAAAGAATAAAATCATGGCGGAGCGAGAGGCCAACCCTAAATGGCTTCCCTTTTCACAATGAGGGTTATGGTGTGAAATTGTTGAGGCCTGGTGGGATCCTTGACAGTTCCCTTTTTGAAGGATACAATGCGTCTTCACTCTCCAAGTATAATTTTCTTAAGTGAAACAAAAAATAGAGAAAGCACGGTTAAGAGGGTACAAAGACAAGTAAATATGGTGCACGCTGTAACTGTGGAGCCGATGGGATTATCAGGAGGTCTAGCTTTATTTTGGAATGACACTATCCAGGTATGTGAATCACATTCTTCTCCTTTTATATCACAACTTTGATACAAGATGGCTTAGCTGATTGCTAATATTGGTGTATCTAAGTATAGTTAGAGTCACTCGTAGATATCAGATGCAAGAATTAGTTAAAAATGCATAGATTGAGGTGTTTTGTGGGTCATAGCTGGTGACTTTAATGATATTATTGATGGATCGGAAAAACAAGGAGGAAGAAGTAGAGATACTTGGACCTTTAGAGACTTTAAGAATTTTATATGGAGGTGCAATTGACTTAGGTCATAAAGGAAAATCTTGGGCATGGTGGTGTTACATGGAAAATGATGGTATAATCCAGGAAAGGCTAGATCGTGTCTTAGTCTCTCCTAATTGGAGAATTAAATTCGAGAATGAGAATGTGCAACATATTGAAACTGAGGCATCGGATCATTCTTCCTTGATGTTGTCTTTTGATATGGATCCAATTAGGAAGAAAAAACGGTTTTACTTTGATAGAAGGTGGATTGAGCGTGAAGGAGTTTAGAATATTATTTCAAAAGCTTGGTCGTATGATTGTAATGGCTTTGAGCAATCTCAAGTTAGCTTTAAAATCACACATTATCGTAGATCTTTGGTGGCTTGGCGGCGGGGGGGAGGGGGGTCATGGTAATGCAAGAAAGAGAATTATTGCCAATAAGGGAAAGATTACAGCCCTTAGGAACAACACTAGTAATTTTGACTGGAGTAAATTAAGGTTACTGAAAAGGGAACTAAGCAAAGCCTATAACGATGAAGAAACCTTTTGGAAACAGAAGTCTAAAGCTTTATGGTTGCTTGAATGGGATAAAAATATTTCATACTTTCACATGGAACCTTGCAAAGAAGAATTAGAAATATGATAAAAGGTTTCCAGACTAGAAATCCTTTTATTCCATATTAGAGTAGAAATCCTTTTATTCCATATTGGAAAAGTTATCGTGGGTCTTGTTCTGGCAAAGATCACCTTAGACTTTGGGTATCTGTTCGCGGATGACTTAACTCGTGCTATGAATCAGTTTTACTCTCCTCCGTTAGGTGAAGGATGGTTCAGTCAACCGCCAACCCGTCATTTATTTCCTTCAATAATGCCTTCGCTTCACTTCAAGACGCTATTTACCCAGGCTTGACGAAGTGAAGCTGTATTGAGAGAATCATTTTGTCTCAATCAATGGATCTATCTTTATATTCATATATATTACTAATAAAAGTGGAATTCTATAGTGTTGTAGCGTAGCAAGAATCCCCAAATCCTTGATTTGGCCAGGAAAGACTGCACTGCTTTGGGCCCAGGAAGTGAAGGGAATGAGCTCAGTTGCTTCTCCTCCACACTTCTTTTTCTCCGTGCCCGTACTGCATGCGCTTTGCGCGCCATTGGCGTTTTGCTCTCCTGTTATTCTTCATGAATAAGGTCTTATTACAGAATCTGCAGTTTAGAAAGTATCCCTAGACAGATCATTGCTAAGAGGAGAGCTGGGAATTTCTTGTTAATCAGGTGGGAGGTGGGTGGTAGACCAAACTGATATAATCCAAGAAGTTGAGCAATATTATAACAATTTATTCTCTACATCTAACCCGACACACTTGGACTGTATTTTGAATCATGTTAAAGTGACTGTGAGTGATTCTATAAATCATAGTTTAATTAAGGAAGTTGATGATGAGGAAATAAAGAATGCGGTGTTTGCGATGCATCATCTTGAAGCACCAGGTGTTGATGTTATGACTCTTTTATTTTTTCAAACGTATCGGAATATCTTATCAAAGGAAATCTGTTAAAAGTTTCTTTAGTACAGGATATCTACTTCCTACATGGAACCATACTTTAATCACTCTAGTGCCCAAAGTTAAAAGCCCCACCTTAGTTTCGTAGCTTAGACCTATAAGTTTATGTTCTACCTTGTACAAGATTATTGCAAAAATTCTAGTTGCAAGAATGAAATTTGTTCTAACTAATGTGATATCCCCTACTCAAGTGGCTTTCATTGGTCATAGACAAATAACTGACAATGTTATTTTAACTCATGAATTTATGCAGGTTTTAAAAAATAAACGCAGAGGTAGGCAAAAATATATGGCTATGAAATTGGATATGTCGAGAGCCTATGACAGAGTCGAATGGATTTATTTACAAGAAATGCTTTTACGTATGGGTTTCCATAAAAGATTTGTCAAATGGATTATGCAATAAATCTCTACACCTACTTATAGTTTTAATATAAATGAGGAGATAGTTGGATCAGTTAAACCTACCAGAGGGATAAGACAAGGGAATCCACTATCACCATATTTATTTTTAATATGTGCTGAAGGTTTATCTACCTTATTGAACATATTAGAGGAACAAAATGAAATCCAAGGGCTAAAGTTGAATAGACATGGCCGAGCGTGACTCATTTATTTTTTGTTGATGACTCATTTATATTTTGTTCAGCTAACAATCAAAATGCAAGTTGTGTAGCCAATATCTTAAAGAAATATGAACGAAGCTCTAGGCAAGTGGTTAATCTAGATAAATCAGTTATCTGTTTTAGTAAAAATGTGAGAGAGGAGGAGAAAGTTGAGATATCCTCGTTGTTTGGACAACGACAAAGAAATGACATGGGTATGTATTTAGGCTTATTACCGGTTGTTGTGGGACGTTCCAAGAAAATGATGCTAGAGTTTATAACAGAAAGAGTCAAGACGAAAATAAAAGGATGGAAGGGCAAATTTTTAAGTACTGGGGGAAAAGAAATTATGCTTAAGTCCGTACTAGCAGCGATCCCTACATATGCTTTGTCTTGTTTCCCACTCCCTGATGGTCTGTGTAATGAAATTACATCCCTCTTTTCAAATTTTTGGTGGGGACAAACAAAGGAGAAAAGAAAGATGCATTTTGAGAAATGGGATAGATTATGTGATTCTAAATCAATAGGAGGATTAGGCTTTAGAGATCTAAAAACTTTTAATATGGCTCTATTAGCTAAGCAAGCTTGGCGAATTCTATCGCAACCAGATTCTTTAATAGCAAAAGTTCTTAAAAGCAAATATTTTCCAAACTCAACCTTTCTTAAAGCTTCAACATCATCTTCTGGTTCTTGGATATGGAAGAGTATTTTGTGGGGAAGAGATCTTTTGACTAAAGGATTAAGAAGGGAAAAATATTAATGTTTGGATTGACCCTTGGATACCAAATAATAATGGCTTCATCCCTGGGCATAGAAATTTAGGTTTAGTAGTATCTGATTCAATTGATAAGAATATGTACTCATGGGAAATACAAGAGTTAAATCCATTGTTTGAAGCTGAAGATGTTAATGTTATATTGTCTATCCCAATTTCTATTGCAGGTTCTAATGATAGGTTAATATGACACCATACAAAAACAGGAAACTATGAAGTTAAGTCAGGTTACTACATCGCAAATGATTTGATCGGTAAGACATTGAAAAATTCGGAAGCT